TCCTAAAGAACTTATAGCTGGCTCTGTTCTTGATGTTCCCCTTAAAGGTACTCCTTTTTTACTGCTATTTTTTGGCTTTTTTTCTGTGGTCCAAAATATGTGATTTTTCCAAATTTAAAGACTGAATTAATTATTTTTTTCCTACATTGCCCTTGGAGTAATTAATGGAGTAATTAATGTTGAAGTATGTGTTAGGGGTGTTTATGTATAGAGATAGTAAAGGTTAATATGGTCAATTTTATTGCTAATTAATGCTAAAAGGTCAATTTCGTGTCAAAACAACCAAAAAAAATCACTTATTTTGGGGTTGCCTATTCATTTTCTGAGCCCCACTTTTAGTAATTTGAGAGAAAGTTGCAGAAAGTAAGAACTTTTTACCTGAGTGTCAGTTTGGGGAAGAAAGGTAAAGACATAATTAACGTGTTTTCAGCAACTGAGGTAGGCTTCATTTGATTTTCAAAGTGCAATATTTTTTTCCCAAGTAGTATATTGCTACTGTTCTATTTAGCATTTATGGGCAAATTTAATTGGAAGATGCATGTTCTTCTATTTTATATGTATTGATTTTGCTGTCTGTTGATATGGGGATAAAAGAATAGGCTTAATCATAAACAAACTTTGCACCTTGGAGGTTTGTTTTGAGTTCCGTGGTTGTCTTTGCATATGTTGGCTAATGTTTATTGCGATTTCTCACTAGTCACTGACTTGTATTCCCGTGAACTCTGACCATCTCGTAATGTTGAATTGACATATGTAGTAGCAACACACCTTAGTCATCCTTTTAGTCCCTAGGCTACAGATACTCCTGGACTCTGGAGTTCAAGAGCCCTGTGGGCTGGTGTCACAGGAGGGATTCTGATCTGGATGATCTGATTGACATTTCACATGGCCCATTATATTTAGAAGCATATGTCAAATGAATCATCAAGTTTTTCCATTTTCTGAATGATGGAATAAATTTGTGGTTTTATTAGTTTCGAAGATGCTTGTTTTCCTGTACTTAAGTAATCATCATGCCTTGAAAAGCAGAATAACCGAGTTCAAAAGAGTATACCTATGCATGGATAAAAGACCATGAGAAAATGATGAGAGAAGACTGATTATCAATATTGCTAGTGCTAGTTTTGTATATCATTCATTGACCATATTTTCGAATTTTTTCTGGCTGGTTGCTGTTGCATAGTGGACTTATAGCACGTCTTGTTGAAACATGTTCTCAACAAGCAAATCATAACTCTGTCGAGGCGTCCGCATAACCAAATCGCTGGTGTTCCAATAAGAGTATCATAGTATCATAAGACAACAAGTCACATAAGTCGACCCCTCTTTCAGATTGAAGCTATGATATACCAGCTCATTTAGTCAGTGTGTATTAGAAGATGAGTACCCTTCTTTTAAGTAGAATTAGATAGTTTTCATGGAAGCGCTTGTGTATTGAAACTACTAATTTTCAACATGCTCATCTGAAAATGGCACACATTGGTCACACAGGGTTAGCTGGTTCTGGTTAAGATAAAGAAATTCAGCAATGTCTGACCAATTGAATGTTAAATATGCAAGGTTGCATAATAGAGGGAAAATAATGTAAAAAGGTACTTATAATAGCGAAATGAAAATTGCACTTTTCTCCAAGAGTACAGTCAGGTATAAGTCTACTTCCTTTCTGATTTGCAAATCCAAATTGGTTGATTTCAAAATTGTGTGGATGTGTGTATATTTTCAAGTGTTTTCGCTCTTTTTTTTTTTTTTTTTTTTTTTTTTTTTTTTTTTTTTTTTTTTTTTTTTTTTTTTTTAAAACCCCTTTGGCCTATACCATGATGTTGAAGTGTTTGATTTGCAGCTTGCCAATCAATGGTGAGCAATACCTCACTGGACTATCCTTTGCTCGTCCCAAATGACACATATTTCTTCACTGCTGCCAATTGTGTAACATGCAAGTGTGATGCTGCGAACAACTGGACGTAAGCTGCTGAACTGATGTTGATTTTTCACTTCTTTTTACACTTTGACTCCCAGTAATCTAATCTTGCTGCATCATACGTCCTTTTCCCGAACCTGCTTTCTCAGCTTGCAATGCCAACCATCTCAGATAAAGTCCTCTCTTTGGAAGTCATGCCCCTCTATGCAGTGCCAAGGTCTGGATAGCTTTTACATTGGGAATGTCACATCTTCAGATTGTAACTCCGCAGCTTGTGCTTATGCTGGTTACAGCAACCAGACCATTTTTACCACAAGCACTCAGTCAACTTGTCCTGGTGAGTTTATGCAGTTTCTGAGCTGCCCATGGCACACTAAAATTTGGTTCATAATAACACTTATGCGCTAAACTGAGACATGCTTTTGTCATTTGTACAGCAAGTACTGCTTCTGAGATGAGGTCAGGGACATGGAGGTGGAATATCATCCTGGTTGCTATCCATCTGGCGTTGCTATCTGCTTCTTATTTGAGATAACTCCACGGTTTATAGGAGACTCTACATGGTGATGTCTGTAAAAGGGTGTAGTTGTTTTAGCTTATAGTACTAGCATTTATGCTGCTGGGGACAAATCTTCAGTTCTTCCACGAACATAAGTAGTTCCTCTATAGTAGACATTATTTAGACAAACCTTTCTCTTCTCCCTACTTGAGACATGGTTCTTCTGCTGTCATTTTGTCTGTCTTCAGGATTTTAACTGTTAAATTTGGCATTTCTTTTGGTGAGCGTGCACCACGTTGGTTCATTTCTTTTAAATTATGTGAACAATTTGTGAAAATGGAAGTTTGGAAGTATAAGTGTGTGTGTGTGGTGGATGCTCAAAGAGAGCACTTTAGCTTTGTAGGGAAAGAAGTTGTTATATAAGCACTTCCCCTAAAAGATATTACCTTCGGTGGCGGAGCTAGAATTTTTATTAAGGAGAGTCAAAATATAAAGAAATGAACTTACCAAGAAGTCAAGGGGTGTCATTATATATATATATATATATATATATATATATATATATATTTTAAGAAAAAATTACCAGGCTAAACAATATAATTTTTTGACGAAGGGATGTATAATTTGTCATCCCTTGGGTGCATGTGGTTCCGCTGCCCTCCCAATTAATGATCTTTTTTGGAGGAGGAAAAAGATTAGTCGATCCAGAGCAGCATTAGTATGGTTTGCAGAGTAGTATCAGTAAGATTTGTCCTTGTTTTAAAATGATTCGATAGGCCGTAGTAGGAAACAATTTCTTATTATCAAAGTTAATCGTTTTGTGGCATACACGTGTCTTTTTGAATTTTTTCCAAAACACAATTGGATAGTAACTCACTTTTAATTTCACCAAAGATGGAAAACCAACAAAATGAGTTTGGTGGAAATATAAAATGAAAATAACTTAGTATATCCAGATTCAGATACCAATATTTTTAACATACCTTTTATTTGAGGAAACTACAAATGAATGCGTGGGTTTTCTTTCTAATTCTTATTGGAAAAAAAATAAAGAGAGGGCAGTACTCCTTGTAATTCCCTTATTTTAGTGCTGAACTCAATGTATTAAACTTTTACTTGCTATTTGATAATAATAATTCTTCAAAAAGTATTAAACTTGTGAAATTAAACTAATCGAAGAGAGTGATATTATGATACTAGTAACAGTTGCGTTTTTTGGAACGAAGAAATATGTTTCTTTTGCTGAAATCTTTTTCAGTATATTTAAGTTTTTTTTATCATTGAAAATCTTTTTACAAGGAAAATAATTTCGGTCAAAAGGGAGAGAATAATTAATTACTCATCACTTGCATATGAAAGTAATTTTCGTTCATACATTTCTCAAACTTATATTACATATCACCACAACAATAACAATAACCCAGTGTAATTCCATAAGTGGGGTCTGGGGAGGATAATATGTACGCAGACATTAACTCTACCCGAGGGACAGAAAGACTGTTTTCAGGAGACCCTCGGCTCAAAGAGGATATATTACATATCACTAATGTACCTAATTTTTGTATCAACAAAACACTAATATCATACATTATAGTCCACTATATGATTATCAAACACCTGGAAAAAGTACTCAAAAAAATGAGTAATATTTTATACTTTGAGTATATTTTGCTTATACGAGGTTTCAGAAGGTAAGAGGTTTCCCAATATATCGACAAGGCAGTTAGAAAGCGGTGGGGAAATATTATGGCTACCTAGTACCTAGGCAAACTTGATTTTGCCGCCTCTTCTTCTTCCTCTTCTTCTTCTTCTGTTGTGCCACGTGTGCTACGGTACCCGCCTCCATTGCCTCGTCTTCCGGCGGCACCCCATCTCGTAACCGGCCGCCGACGCACCAGGTATCAGTAATCAATTTCACCTTTAATTTCTGTTTGTTACTGCCTTCCTTAACCATATCGGCAGTAATTCCCCCTTTCACTACTTACTATTCAACTCACACTTGACTCTTTCTTCATACTGCCGTGTAGCTTTTATTATGGAGTATGAGCATAGCTGGGGGTGGTAATTAGTACGAGTTTTTGTTGAGGGTTCGGATTGCCTTTTGTTTTTCTGTTTCTTTTGATTACTGAATTTAAGGGGAAAAAGATACCATTTTGCATTTTAATGAAGAAATCATCATAGTTTTCAATTATCACAAAGAAAGAAAAAAGTTGCCACCTTGCATTTATCAATGGATATCATCTTAATTTACAAGTCATCAAAAAGAAAAGAAAAAGTTACCATCTTGCTTAGAATTTTACGCTTTAGAGGCTTAGAGCTTCAGGTATCAGCTGATTTTCAATGTTCTGAAAACTGTACCATTTGTCCTGTCCTTGGATATCAACCTGTTTTTCTTCTTCTTATGCTGTTACTATTGTTAGGTTATAAGTTTCTTCATCAGTTTCCTGATTGGAGAGAAAGGGAAAGAAAGATAGTGCATGTTTAGGATTGAATACTTAACAATGTTTTTCTCAATTTTCCAAGTTAAAGGCCCCCCTCCCCCCTTCTATGTATTTCTCTCTCCAGTTGCTTATTCATTCTTAAATTTCTGTATGATTATCAGATTCATTGACATTGATAGTGAAGTGAGGGAGGCTAAGTGATAAAAATGACAGCTGCACAATTGACTAGTAAGGCGATATATA